AGTTCAAAATAATTCAACCGAGACAAATTCCTTCCAAAAAACGTTATATAAAACAGAGATATTAGAGGAACTGTGCTATCAAAACCTTCCTGAAATATGTATTAAATGATAAAGAACGTGATCATTGTTCTAAGAAACTCAATAGTTTTATCACATATCATAATTCTGAACTTCAGAGAACCTGCAACACCTAGTACTTTACACATTCAGCGAAATTGTATAATCAAAGCCTGTGACTTCTTTCGAATATCTGGCAAACACTACTCTCGAACAGTGACTCCAGATATTTTCCCAGCTGATATTTGATAAGAATATGCAATAAGCCCTTCGTCTGCAGAAATGCTATTTTAATTATTGTTAACGTATTGGATATCTGGATTTCATTGTTTCTTCAAAGGACTTAAACATAATAATAAACCATAATTTATTACATTGCAGGTGAGATAAATACCTTCTATTATTATGATAAATAAAGGATGTTGTCTGGTATCAATAACTTTATTAAGCTTATGATCGTTTCGATCGCATAGCGATCATCCTCAGAGCTTGCAGCTTCCGGGCCGAAATAAAGTTCAAAAACAAAGGAGAACTTTGTTTTCGGCCCGGAAGCTGCAAGGATCGCTATGCGATCGAAAAGATCATAAGCCTAATAAAATTACTGCTACCAGACAACATCCTTTATTTATCATAATAAGCCACAAATTAGATTAACCTATACCGCGTACCACTTAAATTAATACCAAGCCGCCGCATTATTTCCTCTCATCCCGAGCTACGTATCCTCGCTAACATTCGACATATCCTCCCGGAGCCCAACACGAAGAGCTCCTCCCGTGTCGTGCGGCGGCGGCGGCACACACACGCTCGGCCTCCCACGCGCCGCCGTGCCCACTGTGCCCCACGCTCGCCACGCACCGTTTTAAACTGTTGAGCCGTTCGAGCGTGCGGGTGAGTGGGCGGGCGAGTGGGCGGGCGGGCGCTGGAGGCGGCCGCGGGCGGCGGCACCTGCGGCGGGAAAAGTCGGCGGCCGGCGAAAGGGCGCTTCGGATGAAAAGATAATTCATTTGTGGCAGAGCCGCCGCTGCCGCGCGCCGCCGCCGCCGAAGTAGGACAGTGGGGCGACGGTACAGGCTGCGCAGGGCGGAGGGGAGAGAGGGTGGGAAGGGGTGGGAGGGGGAGGGGAGGGGGGAGAGGTGGAGATGGCGGGGCGGGAGGCGCGCGATCGGGTGACCCAGAGCCGCAGGCGGGCGGGTGGCTGGAATAACAAGAGGGGAAGGATGGGTCGGAGATGAGAGGCGTCCCATCTGCTTCGTTCATCCTTGTTTCGCGACTCCGCCCCGTTTTCGTCTTTATTCGTTTCTTCTCGGTTTTCATGTTCTCCCTTTTCTTTCTTTAAGTCTTACATGTGATCCGCCCCTCTTCTATACATGAGCAATACAAGGTATCAACCAGTTTCACAGCAGTGGCTCTAAACGGCAAGTCTTAGGGTTCGAGCCCCAAAGGAGTTTCGGCATATGCCAGATAGGTCCAATTCGACTGCTGTCTGGAGGAGAATTCTAACTGCCGGCTCCTCTGATTAGCAGTTTTCGAAGGTTTCCTCTTATCAATATCAGGAGAATGACTGGGCACAACTAAACTAATGGGACACGGGCCGCGCGATCTTTTCTTCCTATTCATTTTCCGGCCCTCCTCTTATTAGTACACAGTTACAATTATATGCACATCACTACTACACATGCGGGGAGACCAGTTGGGAGCTTAGAACATGTCCTGGCTTGGGCGTGCCCCTAGGTGCCGGAAGATACCTGGATTGAGAAAACTCCACCAGCAGACGTAGGTCAGCGCTGGATTTCACTATCCAGTGGGGAAAGAAAATCGACATCTACCCACATTAAAAAATACACTACACTTACAGGAATAATGACGATAGCGGCCAAAAACCTGAAATAATCAATCATTTACATGAGCCAGGGATCAATCTCTTCTTTCACAACACTTCTGTCAATTCTCACCGCTCTCTACAGTCGCTCTCTACAGTGAATTGTCTGCTCCCTTCGGCTCAGAAGTCTTCAATATCTAAATCCTGAATCGATTTTACTAATTACACGCTGCGAGAAGTCTGAGACCAGCAGATCTATCCAGCCGAGAGTTGGAGGCGCAAATAAAGTCTGTGGGAGAGACAAAAGAAAAATAACGGATCCTAACATCTAAAAAGCGTTGAAAAACCATTGGCCAGATTGCAGATAATGCAGAAATGAGTAATTTACGAACGGTTTCTTGACCCTGAAAATCTTCCCGAGAAACTGAAAAATTACCGCTTTGCACAATCAAGTATTTTTTTTCTGGACGAGCTTCTTTTTCCGTGGGGTGACAATGTTTTCCCTCCGCAGCAATGTGAGATCCAGCGCCGACTTACAAGTGCGCCTGGAGGTTTTCTCTCTCCAGGTATTGCTCCCAGTGGGGTAGTGTCCTAGCCGGAACAAGATCTAAGCTTTTGACGTACGTGGTTGTGAAGTATGTGTAAGTGTGTAGGAGGAAAGAAGGGACAAGGATGGCAAGAGGCAAGAACGATTGTCTGCGCGCGATCCACTATTCGTTAGTTGAAGTGCTCTCATATTCACCTGATATTGATTGGGAAACCATTGATAACGACCGACCAGAGCAGCCGGCCGCAGGAATTCTTCTGTTGAGAGAGTGGAAGACTTCTTGTCAGGTTTGTAGCCAAAATTGAAAAATCCGCTACCGACTCATTCAAAACTTAATATTTCTACGACAAAGATGCGCAGAGGCAACAATGATCTTTCCTGTGAGATATCGAAGCCAGTTCAACATTTGAGACGAAGACTTGCTATATAGACGCCGTAATCACTCCACTGCGCCCTATTTAACCGTAAGCGCCACAACTAACGCTGTCCTCTTTCCTCTTCTACTACGTCTACGAACTTCCACTACTGCATTGCTGTTGTCGCCCCTGTCATCATGCGTCTCCATAATTGCTGGATCCCATGGAGAGTCTGTTGTTGCAGCCTAAGGCTTGTAGTTCTTCATTTGTGTAGGCAAAACTAACATACACTACAATTTTTTCACGTAAACTCTCTTGAAGCAAATAGATCTCTCTGAAAGAGATACTTCAGATTCAACGGTATTGCCATAATTGCACTGAATGTTCAACATTCTAACCACTTTATAGATGTAATTTATTTAGACATTTATCTAAAATGGAGAAATGAAGATAATAACGATACTTGAATGATAATGATACTCATTGAAATTAATTGCGCATGAGTGAAGTATAAAATAAAAGATACACGTTTCTAGATCTAATTAAAGTGAATACTTATTAAGTTTAAGAACAAAATGCTTTACTCGCCTCACTTTAGTTTTTATCTTCAAGATGTGAAGATATAGAGAGCCTTAGTGAAATACATTATTGAGTGTATTTCACACAGTGTCTCAGTGAGTTCTGAGGATTTTGGCAACATCATGTGTTTTATCCACTAGCCCATTTTGAACAAGTGTAATGTTCACTACAAAAATCGTAGCACAAATATTTGTTACTTAAATATTGATACGCATAATTAAATATACAATGCTCTTAATTTACTAAGTTTAGGTACCAAGCTGGTATTTTGCACAAAACCATCTTATTGTAAAAGATCGAGAATTATTCAAATAGTTTCTCCTTTAATAGCTTCTAGATTTTCCTTTGCCATTAAAATCTGAAAAATCCGCTTACTATTTCCAGTAGTAATTTAAAAAAATGTTAATCCAGTGTTGTTTATCTCTATAGTAAGATTTCTTTTCGATGAGAAAATTTTCTGAAAAACATGAATAAGTGAAAATAATGAAAAGAAAAAAGGGGCCACAGACCAACGAAAGAAACTACAGAAACATTGCCAATAATGGACTTCTTAATTAGCGTTCAATCAAGCCAGAAGAGATGAGTGTAAAAGTTGTCGAATCAGAGAGATTTTCTCAATCCAGGTGTCTTCCACAAGCGGGGCGCACCGAAGCTAGAACATGCTCAAAGCTCCCAACTTTTTTTGTACAGATTTTTTACTTTTTGTACCGATTTTAGGGCAAAGAGCTTTATGTTCCTTCCACGTCCGTACATCATTTTGCTCAGAATACCGCTGCACTCTACCATGAAAGTGCAGACCGAGAATCATGAACACCGTTTTTGTTTATCTGCGAATTATATGTGCATGAGTGTGCATAGGGTTTTATTAGCTTATATTTCAGTCAAAATTTGATATTCTTTTTTCCCTATTTCAATGAGTCCAAGAACCAACACTACGGTCCAAAAGGAGAATGAAGAAAAAATATGTATATTACACACAAACTTTCGTCTCTTTTCCAACCCAGCCTCGTTCTTTCACTACTTATGAGACGATCTCTGAATATCTCTTGGTTCAGAGCACTTCCGCTTTCGCGTGTCGCGCGGCAATCGATCAAAATGAATATCAAGCAGAGAAATCGAACTTCATGCAAATGTGATGCTTTTGGTTGTAAATAAGAATATTAACGTTCACATTTCGTACGAAAAGTGATATCATTTTATGCAGGAAATGAAAAAATTATGCCATAACGGATGAGAAGTATTCTTGCCACTTTTATTAACTTTTTGAATCACATTGAATACATAGAGCTACATCACCTCTTCCAAAAACGTCAACAATCTCCATTTTAACCAAAATGCCAGAGAGGGTTAGTTATACCTGAATGCCTCAATTCTGAACCGAAATCTTTATGACCTCGCTTATCATCTTTCATTTGTATCGATTGTACATTTTGTGTGCAGAATAGAAGAGTTCGGATGACGACCTAAGTAATGATAACTGGCGTTTCATGTTTTGCAAGTAAATACAATGCAAAATTGCAGTTTTATCAAGCCATAACTACGAGTGAATATTCTTCGCCATTCCTTGTACATCTTTTCGATCAGTTATAATATTGCTAATTCCCTCCATTTCGTATGTGCCAATTATACTCTTGAGTTCCTACCATATGACAGAATCACTATTTACTCTCTTATTTACTCTCTCTCCCTCCCACTTTTCTGTCTCTCCCTCTCTCTCTCTCCCCCTCTCCCTCTCAGTTGTAATAATGGCAGGAAAATTTCCTCCATTTCTTAAATGCCAATAATAATCTTGAGTTCCTCGAATGGACCGAAATCATTATTTTACTTTTCAAAAACTTATTTCTGTCAGAAATCCCGCACGGACGAGAGCCTTCATAAAATTCTCGTCTGTACATTTTTCCGAGGAGCATTTGTAGCGTGTTGTGTCCATCCCGATGCTGGCGGTACCGCGCGCGCGGGACGCAGGAGGAGTAGCTTAGGGGAGGGCGACCGTACCCCTGCGAGGCGCCCGGAGGGCGGCGAGAGTGGGCGGGGAAACGCCCGGCTGCAGCGCTGAATGCACTGCCGCCACGCACTCGGCGGTCGCACCTCGTGCGCGCTTGTGGAGACCGTGTACCGTGCAGTTGTCCAGCTGCCGTGCCCTGCCTAGGGCCTTCCCACAGCCGGGGACTGGCGTTCAAGAAAGCGTTCGATTTGATTGCGGTCGCGGCTGCGCAATGCTAAGCATAGTTCTGCAAAAATAGTCGTGCTTTTATCTGGGAGATGCGTGATATTTCCCCACTGGATGGAAAGACAAAGCACAAAACTAAGCCCGTTTACGTGTTTTCCCCCACCCAGTATCTCCCCTCGAGCGAGCTATCGACCCAGCCGGACAACATCTGCGGTTCCTGACTGGTCTTATCTCATGTGTGTAGTGTTAGTTATGCAAGATAAGTGTGTTAATTAGGGGTGAGGATAGAGGAGGGAAAGATCGCGCCGCGCCCGTGGTCCTTTTGATACGCGTTCTTCTCCACTTCATGCAAGAGATGTATATAATATACCATAAACACAAACAAGCCGGTTAGGATGGCCGAGATTGCTAAGCATAGTCTCGTAGGATCTCGACCGAACGATGCGTGTTCGAGTCCCGCCTCGCGCTATGATTGTATTTTGATCGTCTTTCACCCCCTATCATAATCATTATTCGTGTCATCCTCCAGTTACCATCCGTACAAGCAATATGGGCGGCTTAAGATCTAGAAGTTGATGCACCGAAATAACAAGCAGCCAAAAGCAAGTTGCGGACTGGGTGTAGATTCACTTTACCTTCCCACCTCGCAATTACGCCGACGATCCACAGTCATTTATATATCACATACCCCCCCCACATCAAAATAATTCTCAGAATAAATGTTTCAACATATAGAGGTGTTCTAAAATGCTCACAAATAATACCATACTTTCACACTATTTGCGAAATTTCTAGTTGGAACGTTGCACATCCGTTATTTGACATACTGTTATAACTCATCGTTACAACCACTTGTACGACTGGCCACCACTGGTCTATAACAGCCCAGAATGTGACCTGCCAAAATCTGTGTTTTAAGTTTGTGAACCAATGCAGAAACAAAGACACGAGGTAAACTAGGTTTATGCGAACTTTTAACCTTATGTTCACACTTGTTATAAACCGCCTCTGAGAGTACAAGTCTTCGAAATTGGCTCGAATACAATTTGAAATCATGAAGGAAAACAGTACACCTCCAAAATCCTGTTTGAGAAAACACAAAAAATATATTTGGGTAAAACCGTAATTTTACAAACAATCAAATGCACAGAGAAGTTCTACAGAATGACTCCCTCATACCCAAGAACTTCCACGTAGTTTCATATTTCATCCTAAGAAGCTGCACAACTAAAAATAGATCATTAAATATACTTTTTTCCACTCAATTATTGTTAAACGCTAAACAAAGTAACTAATGTAATCAGAATGGCTTTATTAAATAATTTTTACGCAATATGATAGCTTAGATAGGTTAAAATTTTGCAATGATTCATTATTGATTCTGATGATCTTTATTCTGACTCCAAAGACCGCAATTATGTTAGTCAAACTCCAAGATTTTCGACACTCTCTATACTTTAAGACTTTTTATATCATTATCTTCTTCGCACTGATTGGTAATGTTTTACTTGTAGGATGTTGAGTCGTTTAGAAAATATTGAGTACGTGATCTTGAGCCCATTTAAAATATGTAAGAGTAGGAACGTTCATAAATTAAAACTAACATTATAATTTTGAAAAAAGAAGGCTATTATTCTTTCCAACTGTTGATTTGCAAGATTTTTATAATAATTGGTTCAGCAAGCTCTTTCAGTCACCTTTTATTGTATATTCATTTCTTTAGTGTAAGTACTTTTACAAACATATGCTCAAACAGTCTGTAAGCGTAAATTCGATCACATCTTCTTATGAGTGAATTGACGTTTCAAGGGTTCTGTCACATGTAGAAACAGTGTGCCATTGACATTAACATCATGAGGTATTTAATATTAAACACCTAACTACCATGATTCTTCGGACTTGCTAACACAATAATAACTCCCTCAACATTCGCATTAAGGTCTACAGAGTCGATTACATAAGAGTATGTCGAACTCAAGCGACAAGAACATAAGATATTCTATACCTAATGTGTCTCCGTAGATAACCGCACGTATCGCTCACGACGACGAGTCGCCTCGTAGCGGCCTCACCGATAACTATTCCTTTCTAGGTGCTGGGTCTTTGCAAAAACCAATGTATCTATATTTAATTTTGGTGGCCAAAGTAAATTCGCTGCTAGAAAAACTCTAAAACATTTTCCAGGATCTGATCGCATACTAATGCAATAAATACACTCACATTTCATTAACCTCGTGTTTTAACCTCATAATTCACCTCAATAAGGCAGCGACTTTTTATTATATTACATATTTTTTCCGTTGCTCCTGCAATATCTAAGTTAAATTCCTTGACATTTGGTTGGCATTGGATGCTGTGTAGGTTAATTTGTTAGCGCATATTTGATCGATTGTTCCGTTGGAGCATATTCATATGATTACAGGCACATATTTTGTATATTCGTTAAAATAAAGACTTATCTCTAAAAGGTTACATTTTTTCATAGAATATATTTATTCGTGAGCGTTTCATTGATTAGGAGAAACTTTTAACGAATTTTGTTGTTTTAATTTCTACAGATGGTAAAATACTTGCAGAAATGTAGGATATTTTTCATATAACATTTTTTAAACGACACAGAAGAAATGCACAAGACATACAATGTACTTTCACTTAAAGTGAATATTTAACTATTTCTCCCGCAAATAACGTTCATTATATTATGTTTGCACAAAATATATATTTTTTATTCCAAGATGCTCTCTATGACTATAAACGAAAATGTTGTATCCTATTCCCTCCAGCGACTATGCTACTCCGTGTTCCTTCTCCGCACAGCCTGCCCCGCCTACGCCTGCCACTTACGCAGCCTCATCGTTCGTTTGAATACTTCTACATCGCATCTCCCGACTGCTACAGAAATAGTTCATTAAAATCCTAAACTGTAAAAAGAGTCAAGGTATACTAATCTGTGCCTGAACTCAGCATCACTGCGTACTTCAGTAGTGAAAATTTTATAATATTAACGTTGGTTCAGAGATATTTTCAAATTAAACTGAGGTATTATGTAAAAAATGTTGGCACCTATTTCATTTAACGACAAGAATCGAATACTGTTTTTAAATGGGAATATGACATATCATCAATTTTCGTAGTTTATATGCATTGGGGCAAAAATCTCCAAAGGGCAGAAATTCAAAGAAAACTAGGCAGCCTGCGGCCATGTGAGAGGTGGCTAAGATTATGTTTGATACTTACGAACTCGAGAAAAATCCAAAACCAATGAAACAATTTCAGTTTTGTCTCAAAAACAAACAAATATTTGTTTCTGTTATTATACCTATTTTATACTGCAGTACCGACTAAATTCTTATACCCAGTCAATGATGAGCTGTCACTGCTCAGCCGTATTAATGCAACAGCAAGAACTCAGGGAAGAGAACACCCTCCAATAAATATTTGATGTTTATAAGCTGCGTTTTGGAACAGATTTTTTGGTATTGATTTACGTGATATGCACATACATATATTCTATGTTGTGACAGTATTCCTAAGACTATTTTTGTTAATATACTTAATATATAACAGTGTTAATCTATAGACTTTTTTGTTATTATTCTTCAGTGTGGGTGATATTATTTGGCATACCATTTTGTGTGGTTTTGTCATTTTTGTGTTCTTTGAAATAGAGCAGTGAATAGATAATTATAACTTTTTAAAATTTTGTATATTTCGCGGGTTTCCACAAAAACCTTCAAGAGGTAAATAAAATAAAACGTATTTCATGTGGCTAAAATATGAGATATTAATAATGATAATAATAACAACAACAATAATAACAATAATAATAACTACAATAATAATAACAATAATAATAACAAAAATTTACTCTCAAAGATATTTCTAGAGGATTTCCGGGCCACGAGATTTCGAGTGAGTTATGCTGCACGTCAACAGATCGCGGTAGCGTTACTGTCGTTCACCGTGCAGAGTTTGGAATTCATAAGACGCTCCCAGCTTCCGATTTTTACGACTACGATAGGTTATTCTTTTTCTAAATTTTCAAATTGAGTAATAGTTTTGCGATTGCTCCTGCTGTGGAATGCAATTAAGAATGCGGACTTCCTGGAATTATTTTGGGTATCACAAAGGTTCATTGAGTAAAGACTAGCTAAGAAAACGACATTTGCGCGCACACATAAATAATGCGTTTAATTTACTACATGTAGTAGTAAGAACGCGTACAATCAAAATTTTTGAACTCCAATACTAATGTCTCTTATTACTAGGACGATGAAAATCGTTTGGTAATGACATTAATTACGAGACACATTCATTATACGGACTAGAAATGGTTTTCAACTAATAATAGACAGGTTTGCTAATCCCACACGGAGATATAAATAATCACTGGACGCCATAAACAAAACAAATGAGGCATTATAAAAGGATGCTATAGAGATGTATAGTTTGTTATATTAAATACTGGTTTGTATACGGGTTAGGAAGAGGATGATGAAGTGTGTGTTGTTGAGGGGTTAATAAATAAAGAAAAATAAGATGGAGGTAAGATATTAAGTAAATGAAATATAGAGATAATAGTAATGAATTTAATAATAGTAACGAATGGTGATGGAGATGTAATTTAGGTTGAAAAGAATGAATTCAACTGGGTTTCCTATGTATTGAAAGCCATGCACTTATAAAAAATACAATATTTCGGTCTCAGTTCTATTAAATGCTCTGTTCGATATGCACTACGAGCGGGAATTCGACGACAAAACTCGCGTGTCTAACCCTGTTTCTTCAGATCAATATACTAAAGCCCCTGAGGAGAACTGCATGTTTCCGAAATAATGTAGATAAAAAGCAATTGTAGATAATACATTTGATAACTTAAAAAAACGTGGGTTTATAACCTCAGCTAGTTTTATCGTCTTTGCCTCGCGTAATTGTGGTTGCTAGAGATATTGACTAGCGTCAAAAATAGTGAATATGTTTGTTTTTTTGTGTTCGCAGTTCTTTCTGTGGGTCTTAGAGCAGAATTTATTCATTCTGAATTCCAGATAATTCCAATTTAGATTAACAAAAAGTCGAACAGGAGTGAATAGACACGAATTTAACATCGTCAGAAATCCAGTCCGTTAAATCCCATCATTACATCACCCGTTCGTAATATATCATAATAAAGTAATATATCCGAATTTTCTCATTTGAAACACTTGCACATACTGTCAACTCTATTCTATTCTAGAGACAGACATTCGCTCTGACAGAAACTTTCAAAAACAATTTGCAACCGCTTCCTTTTCATGATCACATTTCAACGACATATTTCATTTGCATTTACATAGAAAAAATAACAATACGCATATCAATTATTGTAAGGAGAGCACAAACACCTTGCCTGAACTCCGACTGACCCATAACGACAGCATTATGATCACATTTACATCATAGTCGTCACAGTCCCCAAGAAACGTAATCGCCATCACTACCGTCTCCACAACCATCGTTTAAGCAATCTCTGCCACCGCCGACCCTACCTACCACTGTCCAGAGCATTGAAGCCGCGGCACCACGCACCACCAACGCAGCCCACCCCAACTTCCACCCCCACCCCGTCTTTCGCCGCCGTAAAGGGGTCACGAATGTCCTTTGTTTCACTGAATGATTGATAGGTGTCTCGAGGAGGGTGAGCTGCTATGGTCATTAATCCCTAAACGCAGGGCATCTTTTCGTCACGGAAGGTGCCGAAGCAACTCCTCCTGCAGGACTCCGTTTAACACCTAGCGAAGGCAGAGCTCTATCAAACGGGTGACGGACCGCACGCGATGTTTCCTTCCTCTTCCTAGCCCAATCCTTACTCTGTACTTACTCAAACGTACACTTGCAAGCACTATACTACCTCTCATGACGGAAAACCAGTCGGAAGCTTAGGGCTTGCCTTGGCTGGGGCGATGCTCTGCTGATGGGAGATACTTCAATGGGGAATACCCTGAATGTCCACATACAGGTTCGCGGTTTCTCACTATCCAGAAAGTGAGAGAATACCGCCACTTCAACAAAAAATGCTCTTAAGTAATTAATGACCATAGCAGTTG